GGGGGGGGGGGGTTACCTATGAAGATTTTAGGGAGGGAAGAGAGCCCACAGTTTCCACTGAGGCCTCAAATAGTTCTGGAACCCAAAAGCAAAAAGCTGAAAAGCAGTGGGTAAGAGTGAAAGTCACCTAACCAACATGGCAGCTATAGCAGGGATTTATGCACGGGTGGGAAAGAGGACCTTCTGGCCTCTGGCAAAGGCCTTCAGAAAGTCCAGTGGTCCGTCTCGTCCCTTTCTTTGCCAAAACAGCATACAGTATTTGCTCTTGGCCTTTTTTGCTGGGGTCCTGCTCACGCTGCTGCTGTTGGCCCTTATCTTCTTCATCATAAAGAGCTACAGGAAACGTAAGTGGTCTCCGAGAGACGGCACGGCTCTCACTGCCCAGCCGTTGAGAACAGACGTGGCTCTGAGGGGGAGTAGAACGCAGGGAGCTCACCCTGTCTGCAGACTGAGGACCTGAATCCCCAGACTTCTCCACCTGCCCTCCCACCCTCCACGCTTCCCACCTCCAACACCCAGCCTTCACCCCAGCCTGCAGGGAAAGCCTTCCCATTCTTCCAGACCCCATTGCTGAGACTTGTCCCTCTCTTTCCTGGCACCTGAGGCAGGTCACTCTAGTCCCTGCGCCCTGGATCCTCCCTTCGATCCTCACTCTGGCCAAGATCCTCCGGCCAAGGTAAGATGACCACGTTGTTTCCGGGACCCTGGGCAAGTGCATCTTGGAAGGGTTCTTCTGATCTCTTTGGTCCTCTGTGACCACAGCTTCCAAATGGCTTGTAAAGAGACACCTTCCTCCAAATCCAACTCACTCACTCCTCTGCCTCCTCCTTCCTCTGCAGCTTTCATCCCCAGAGGAAGCACTCACCTATGCTAGCATGACTTTCCAAATCGCAGAAAAGAATCATCACCTGACTGAGAAACATTCTGCAGGCTTGGATCCGGTTGTCTACTCTCAGATCAAAGTGACAAACTCACCTGACCTTTCCAGTGAGGCTTGACGCCAGTCCCTCTTATCTCAGCTCCGTCTTTATATATCACTTTCCCTTTGGACAAATTTGGGACCACAGCCTGACCAGACTACAGTTGGAGTTGTTGGGGTGTGATCTGGCCATGTTAGCCAGCATGTTTGAAGACCAAGGGCCCATCTTTCCCTTGGCCTGAGAAAAGATTGCTGGCCCGGCCGCTTGAACGGACAGTCTGATAGCCCTTCAAGGGCTGAGACTGCCTCGCTCGTCCCCTTTCGACGAGTGTGGTAGTACAGAGCTCAGGGCACAAAGAGTGTTCACTCAGGGCCGCTGATCAGTTTGGGAGAAGTCAACCAACTGGGCAAGTTAGCAAGAATTACAAATAAAAGCAAACCCCCTGCAAAGCCGGCCCCTCCTGCATCATGCATTTGTCTGTCCCCGTCACCTCCAAAGACGCAGAGCTCATGCACAGCCAGAAGCCTAACAGAGGTGACGGGACTCTAGATCAAGTTCAGGATTGATTGGGGCACAGGTCTCAAGCTCTGCACCAACTAGCTGCATTCTTTTGGGTAAGTGTGTGAAACTTTTTTTTTTTTTTTATTTTTTAAAATGTTTATTTTTGAAAGAGAGAGAGACAGAGCGTGAGCAGGGGAGGGGCAGAGAGAGAGGGAGACACAGAATCCGAAGCAGGTTCCAAGCTCCGAGCTATTGGCACGTAGCCCCACCTGGGGCTCGAACTCATGAACCCTGAGATCATGACCTGAGCCCATGTCGGATGCTTAACGGACTGAGCCGCCCAAGCGCCCCAAGTGTGTTGTTAAACTTTTTAAAGCTTCAACTGCTTCATCTTGAAAACAGAATAATACTTACCTCTTAGTGTGAGAATAAGTGAGATGGCATCTACTTAGGTACTTCATACGTTCCAGAGTTTTACATAAATACAAGGTCCCTGTTGTGTAAAGTGCTATTCAAATCACCTTCTTGCTATAGCATAAAAGATATGCCAAGCAATATTACATGGAACTAAGGATTAAATGTTAACTCCCCTAAATCCTAATGGATAATCCCATATATAATCCCAGTAAAAATACCAATAAGGTTATTTTTCACTCAGTGAGGTTCCTGTATAGATAATAAACAAGAAAGTAAATCCAGGAAAATCTATACAAAGAAGCAAATAAAAGTAATCTGGGAAGGCTAGTCCTCACAGCTAACTAAAAGTATTATTTTATCAAGCATGACAGACTAAAACATGTTCCTGGTTCATGAACAAACAAATGGGATAGAGTAAAAAGACTAAAAAAAGATCAAAATCCACGAAGAAATTTAGAGTATGACGAAGATAGCATATCCAATCATTTGGGGGAAATTGGTTAATTCATAAACGGTGTTTAGACAGGTAGGTAGCCATATGGATGAAAGTAAGACCAGAATCCACACCTCCCTTCTTAAATCATAATAAATTCAAGATACATCAAAAATTTAACTGTAAAAACATTATAAAAGTATTAGAAGAGGGGCGCCTAGGTGGCTTGGTCGGTTGAGGGTCCGACTCTTGATTTCAGCTCAGGACATGATCTCACGGTTCGTGGGCTTGAGCCCTACATTGGGCTCCGTGCTAACCGTGTGGAGGCCGCTTGGGATTCTCTCTCTCCCTCTCTCTGCTCCTCCCCTGCTCGCACACAGGCGCACGCTCTCTCTCTCTCAAAATAAATAAACATTTAAAAAAATTAAAGTAATAAATAAAAAATTTTAAAGTACCAGAAGAATATATAGGAGAATTTTTAAAACATAGTGGTGCATGCCTCAAATGTATGACCTGGAGCCAATAAACCAGAAAAGACTGATTAACTGGGCTTACAAAATACTCTTCAAAATGCCAAGCTTGGAAAATATTTGCAAAGCACCTTATAGCCAAAAGGCTAATTTTCTTAATATATTAAGACCTCCGGAATATATTAGGGCTCCTAATACATTAAGTCAACAGGGAAGAAATCAGCAACTCAGTAGAAAATAGAAGACCAAGGATAGGTCTGTTGGTCACAGAAAAGGAAATGTAAGTGGCTTGTTTAAACATATGAAGAGGTACGCAAGTTTACTCGTAATGAGAGAAACAGTAGTTGAAACTACAATTAGATCTTTTCTGTCAGTGAGGTTGGCGACCTTCAGAAAGTTTGCTAACAAACAGCTTGGGCAGGACTGTGGAGACCCAAGGCACACATACTCTTGCTCTTTGGCAAGAGCTGGTGATGTTTTAAAATCTGCTGCTGCGAAGCGGGTGATGGGCATTGAGCAGGGCACCTGTTGGGATGAGCACCGGGTGTTGTATGGAAACCAATTTGACAACAAATTTTATATTAAAAAAAAAATCTATTGCTGCAAACACATCCTATGGAAAGTCGCCTATGTAGTTGAAATCGCAGTTCATAAGATCGCCTAACACTTAGCAAGGCTTGTTATACTCGAAGTGTATTCTAAGTGTTTGGCACATGTTCATGGAAGCCTCACAAAACACTAGGAGGTGACAGTTTTACTGTTCCCGTTTTAGAACAGAAAGGGAGGCTCTGAGAGGCCCAGTAACTTGCCCGAGTTCACACTGCTAAGTAAATAGGGGCGCTGGGGCTCACACCTACGGAGGCTGGCTCCGGAGTTTGCCCGTTTTTCCATTATCATCAACGATCTGAAACAGTGAGAGATGGAGAAAACCCTCAGTGTCTGTTGAAGAGGGGACTGGCTAATGGAGTACAACGTAGCCATTAAAAAGAAGGAAGCCACTCTATGTTCGAAGAAAAAAAGGATTTCCAAGTTATGTTAGATGAAAAGTGCCAGCTGCAGAACAGAATTCTGAATACACTCTATCCACATCCAGTAGAGAACGTGTGTGTGTGTGTGTGTGTGTGTGTGTGTATGCACATGTGTGCCTGCACGGGTGTGCACCTGTATTTGTGCATATCTAGTCTCTGAAAGAAAACACCATGAACTGGTCTTAGTGATTGCTCCCCTGGGAGCTTGATAACTGAGGGACTGAAGGGTAAGGGTGGGAGGAGGTATTGTCCCTTAAAGGCCTTTCGGTAACTTTTTTTTAAATATTTTTATTTATTTTTGAGAGAGAGAGAGAGAGAGAGAGACAGAGCATGAGCAGGGGAGGGGCAGAGAGAGGGAGACACAGAAGCCGAAGCAGACTCCAGGCTCCGAGCTTTCAGCACAGAGCCTGATGTGGGGCTTAAACCTTTGAACCTCGAGATCATGCCCTGAGCTGAAGTCGGACGCTTAACCAACTGAGCCACCTAGGTGCCCGATCCTTTCTGTGACTTTTGAAGTTCTTCATTTACCTTGATGAGGATCTTCAGGGGACCTGATACCCAGTGCTCCCGTCTCCACCTGAATTCTGAACCGAGAAACAAGAGGACTCAGCAGAGAAAGAACAAAGTACTATCTTTATTACAAACGTAGCACTGGAGAACACAGAAAAAGTGTGTCGTCAGAGAATTGGGCAAGTCCCCTCCCCTCCCCACGTCCCAACCAGTGGCTCAGCTGCCCCCAGGAGTTGCAGAAGAGATCATGTGCTCTTTGAAAGCTGCACCCAGACTTTCCCTTGCTGGTTAAAAAAGGAAGAGGAAGGGGCGCCTGGGTAGCTAGGTCAGTTAAGCATCCGGCTTCGGCTCAGGTCATGATCTCGCGGTTTGTGGGTTTGAGCCCCGTGTCAGGCTCTGTGCTGACAGCTCAGAGCCTGGAGCCTGCTTTGGATTCTGTGTTTCCCCTCTCTCCCCCCCACCACCCCCGCTCATTCTCTGTCTCTATCTCTCAAGAATAAATAAACTTAAAAAATTAAAAAAAGAAGAGGAAGGGCAGAGCGGGTACACCCAGCGTCCCACCCATAGACTCACATCAGATAAGTCACTTCTTCTCTGTTGGGGTATCATTGAAGAGTGTTACCCTAATGGAGCTCAGTCTGCAGCAAAGGAAGCAAGAATGGGAGGCAAGCAGCCTCCACAAATCTCTTTTAAAAAAACATTAGGTAAGGGGTGCCTGGGGGGCTCAGTCAGTTAAGCATCTGACCCTTGGTTTTGGCTCAGGTCATGATCTCACGTTTCATGAGCTTGAGCCCTGCATCGGGCTCTGCACTGACATTGCAGAACCTGCTTGGGATTGTCTCTCTCTCCCTCTCTCTCTGCCCCTCCTTCGCTCTCTTTCTCTCTCTTAAATAAGCTTTAAAAAATACATTAGGTAATATTTTTAAGAAACTGAGGTAGGAAAATTAACATTCAAAGAAATCAATTTAGCCAATGTCTCGCATCTAGTAAGCGGCAGAGCAACATTGAAATCCAAGTCTTCCAACTTCCGATTCCTGGCATCTTGCCTGCACGCTAAGCTGGCCCACCCAGAGCAGGTAGAATGGCAGAGAAACTAGCAAGGGAAAGTCAGGTGACCTAATCGAGAGCGTGTGCATTCTGAGATGGAGCAGTGGCTCCTGAGAGCTGGATTTTTTAAAATCAGTGTTTATTTATTTTTAAGAAAGAGAGAGAGGGAGGGGCAGAGAGCAAGGGAGACAGAGGATCTGAAGCAGGCTCCACGCTGTCAGCGTATAGAGCCTGATTCGGGGCTCGAACGCACAAACCACGAAGTCGAACGCTTCACCTGAGCCACCTTAGCATCCATTGACAGCTGGATTTTGAGAAGGCAGTGGAAGAGTGGGCCCAGTTTGGGAGCAAACAAACCAAGGAGAAAGACGGTTTGGGGACGAGTCTTGTGCAGAGGCCACAGCACAGCAGAGCGGCCAGCCCCGGGAGGGCAGCCGAGGCCCTTCTGTCGTTGGCTGTGGGGAGCACCTCAGGGAGGTCTCTCAAGCTGTCACCCGTTCCCAAACTCGGGGCTGACAGCAAACAATTCTATAGGCCTGTGAAGCTAGAAGCCACCTCAGCTTTCCAGTCGAGAGCCAGTGCTTTCTACGTGGCTCCAAGAGGAGGAGTAAGCATTGTCTCAGGGCCACCCACTTGGACATGAAATATCGCATTAATTGCTCTTGCTTTTTTCTTGAAGCTTCCCCATTTTTAGTAGCAGAGCCGTACGTTTACAAAGTTTTGGGTTTTGTCTCCCTGTCGTGAAAACTGGTGTGCACCTGGTCTTGCTGGATGAAATGAGCCATTAAATAATTGACCAGAGGTTCAAAAGGTCAGTGCCAGGGACGGGAGGGGAAAAAAAGGCTCTAGAACCCTGGTTCATGGAATCAGAGCCAACCTGTAGGATTCTCAGGGAAATGGCTCTCCAGATTCATAAGTATACATCTTCCAAGCATAGCGATAGATGTCTTCATCTGTCACGGAAGATTGATGCCTGCTGTCTTGCCTCGTGCAGTAAGATGGCCCCACGGGGCCCAGACTGGATTGCTATTTGTAGAATCGGCAGGCTTGTGCTTGAACATGGCCACGGAGGAGGGCCTGGAGTTGTTTGGTAGATGAGGGAAAAGGCAACACTTTTGACGCTGTTTGCTCTGAGACTCTGGGAGGGAGGGGGTCTGGCCACAAGGACACAGGGAGGATGGCGGGAAACAGATGGTCCCCACACCCCTGCCCCTTCTCATCGGGCTTCTGGGTAGCGTTGAGCTCCCCACCGACAGAGGGGTT